GGGATGCTGTTTAAATTACACAGACACCAGGGAGCTGATACAGCAAGACTAGTGAAAACTGAGTATAATAAATTAAACTAGAAAACGAAAATTTCAGAAGAAATTTTAAGCGTGCCTATGCTGCTGCCAATGAGTGTAGTTTGTGTTAGTAAAGAGCAACTTGTACTTCGGTCCCATTAAGCGATGGTTTAACAAATTTCACTGCACACTATAAAAGGAATCTGGATTTAAATATAACATAGTACTGTTGGATTAAGTGTAGGAAACACTAGTATAAGGTGTCTATGGAACAAATCTCCTTCAACATTCATAATGACCAAAGTGAGGACAAAGTGAGGATCAGTCAGCTGATTGTGTTTAAGGTAAAAGCATCTATAGACACTGAGATTGCTCCATATTTTAGTGAGATAACTCCAGATGTTTGTGGGTTTTGTCAACTTTGGGTGAACAAAAGCAGAAAAATGGTAAAAGATTCAGACATTGAAAGTCTGGTTTATTTCATGAATACAATGAAACATTTTACAGTCCACAGAGCAAAGTAGCATACATGATAATGGATACTACAACATAACACGGACAGCGAGAAGCAAAACTCATTGTCTTACCAGCTGTTATATTCTTTAAACTTAAAATAAACCTTTGAAATTAGAGTTTAGTCTTTTAAGTCATCTATTTAAAAAAAATGAATCAACACTTGTTTCTCTCAGCAGCATTACTGAAGTGACACTTTAACGATGCTTCTTATCACAGTCTTTATGATGAAAAAACATGTTCTCTCATTAGCAGATGTAGCAGAATACATTTATTGCAGTGTATGAGCTACACTTCTTGTAAAAAAAAAAAGAGAAAAAAAAGCTGATTGGAAATGCATTCCAGCTTTTTGAATTTTCAGTCTTTGATGGATTTAATATGAACAGCCACATAAAATTTATTCCAATTTTTTGCCTTTGCTTCAATTAAGGTGTGTCTTTAAAGCTACGATACCTTTCTTGTTCAAAAAGTTTACTGACACAGTAAAGACGTAGCTAGGGAACTCAGTAAGTATGAGCAGCAATAGCTTAGGGACACTTTCTCAAATAAAGAGGATTTCATCATCTGCAGTTCGTGAAAAAAGTGCCACATTAAAAACAAATCCGCAGATCCGCAAATTATGGATAGCTACAGACTCTTTTCAGCTATTGAGGTATACTTATGCACTTATCAGCATACAGTTTAAAGGCTTGCATTAGAGTGCATTGGTGTCCAGTTGGGCATCTTTTATGGTTATACCACTGTGAATTTTGCTATATAAATATGCTCAAGACTCTATCATATGTTTGACATCCAGCTAAAAATTCGAAAATATATATTTTTAAATCAGTAACTTTGCAAATTTAGAGGAAATGTTTTTTGGACAACAAATTAGTCACATTTTAAAAACAGTTTGAATAATCTGCGCTGACAGACAGACATTTATGAAGCGCCGGCTATAACACACATGCTTACCGTGTGAAAGGACCGCGGATGTCTTGGAGCAGAGAACCGCGTTGTATTGTTGCTTTTCCCTTAAGCAACGCCAGCCAGTCAGAAACGCTCTGTGTGGGTAGAAAATGGTCTGCACCTGCGCTGGTCCTGACGCGAAATGGCGAGGGTCTCACTCTTTGAGTAACGCTTCATATAGGACCGGGGGGCTTCCAAAAACAATAGATGGTGGGCCGATAAGTCTGGGGGCGATACACCTGCAGGGCATCACCTTGCTGTGCAAGTTTAAAACAATGAGGGTGGGGCACGCAGTTGCTGAGCTCCGGTGTAATTTGCCAAGATAGGTCTGGACTTCAGACTTCAGAAAATAGGCGATACCCTGCTCGACTGGTACATCTGCAGGGCTTTTACCTTGTCGAGGGTTAGGGTTAGGGGTTAGGGTTAGGGTCAGGGTTAAAGAGCCGATGCCGGCCACCTTAAACAATAGGTCGGTCCCCGCTTTTACACCTGTCGGCTTTTACCTTTTCCTAAGGAATCCCAACAATTAAATGATACCCACGGTGGGCTTTTGCGTTCCTGAACAAATTCAAAAAATTAACCAGCTGCTGAAAGACGGATGGGGCTTGCGAGACTGGTTTTAGAAGTATCACTGCAGCATTTATTTCTAAAGGGGCTGAATGTTATTTGTGACCACCTATTGCATTAAAAACTAGCAGCCTCTGTCTCCCTCTTGGATTAACATTCCGAAATCCCGATTTTTAAATAAAATGATCGCATCAACCCGTGAAAGAAACCCCAGTGGATGCGTAAAAACTAGTTAAATTAAAACTAGCGCTTTGATTAACACTTGTGAACAGTCATGAAGGCTGAAATTACCCGTATAGAAGAAATTCCCGCTTGTGCCGTTTTTAAATAAATAAATAAAATGCTTGCATTGCCGCATGCTGTGACATCAGAATCACAAAATGAGTGTGATTAAAACTAGAGATGGACCGATCCGATATTACGTATCAGTCCGATACTGGCGCAAATTACTGGATCGGATATCGGAGAGAAATAAAAAGTGTAATCGATTCATTAAATATCAAAAAAGCACCTCACAAAACTTGCAACATGGCTCAGCTCATAACCATAGCACGTCAGAGCAGTGTGCTCACATGATAGAGCGCTGTGGCGTGCAAGACCTGTTGTCTGGTTGAGCATTCCTACCAAACCGGCATTTCATCTCAGACAAAGTTATCCCAGAGAGAAGTAAAGCAAGTGTGTAAGTTCATCTCTGAATGTTTGTTAAGCATTCCAGCGTTAAGCTTAACAACCTATATGGAGCGACTGCCTTTCTCTCCCTCCCTCTCCTGCTGCTACTTCAATCCTGAAACTGATCAATGATCAGCTGAAAGAAGAAAATAGGAAAGAAAAGTATTTCTTTGTGCCCCCCTTTCCCTGTTAATGCCCCACCTGGCCCACCTGGCAAAAACTTTGCTAGATCCGCCCCTGCACAGTTACCAGCTGTCAGCTACACAGAAAAAGATTCTGGTGTCACTTGTCTCTCAGAAACAGTTCATAACTTCCCTTCAACTCAATCATGTCAACCTAAAAGGTAAATCTGTTTGTCCATCACCTCTGATGATTCAGTAAGGACATCTCCTGGTTTCATCTTCATGTTTCCCTCTCACCAGATATCCAAACCGATATAATGACCAGCAGCTTTTACAGCTGGGGCTCCAGCAAACATCACCTGATACTAGAAATTTATATCAAATAAATTCTAACAACAGCTGATCAAGCTTAAATGTGCTGCTCGACATCCCCCAGTTTCCCCGCTCTGGCGCAAAGTGGGCGATAAACAAACATTCTAGCTGAAGTACAGGACAAACTGTGTTCTTTTTCAGCTCAATACCAAACGCTAATATTTTCTCTGAATGCCAGACGATTGCGTTTTTACTGGACGGTTGGCAATTCTACTAACTAACCTTATGAATAAAATAAAGTTCACTATGGTATCAGTAACATCAAAGCACCCACCCAGCTGTATAGAAACTCCGTCATGCTAGCTAGCAGTACCAGTTATTGTAACTGATTGTAAGTCAGCACAACGAAAATAAACTACACCTAAACTTGGTTTATATCTGATCCCAGATAGACTGCAGTTCATACCTTCTTACCTGCAATTCAGTTCACCTGATGCTCTGACCGCAGCCGCCTTGGGTCTGCTTCTTCTGCCTTCGGTTTCCCTCATCCACTGGCTGCTCTCTGTTTGAGCTCCGCCACCACCAAACAACTGAGTTATTTTTTCACATGACCAGCATCTGGATAATCCACCACCTTCCACACTAAAATGAATACATAAATCATCAAAAGTCCAAAACACGTAAAAAGTCCAAAACACGTAAAAACTCAGAAGCACGTAAAAACTCAGAAGAACGTAAAAACCCCAAAACACGTACAAAACACAACAGAAGTGCTCAAGAATGCTAGGCACAGTGCTGAGCTTTTGTTACCCAGTGGCTACACAAGCTAGCAAGTACCAACGACTGGATTTGGTGTGTGGTAGTAACAGGTAAATTTACTTTTTTTTTTAAAATTATTTGAATATATATGTGTGTTTGTGTATAAATACACAAACAATACACATATGCTTTCAATTGTGTAATTTAAGTGATCTAGGTAGCTCTGTTTTGGAAGTTCAGTTAATGCTAGAAATGTGTTTTGGAATTTAGTGTAGTGTAAAGCGCTTTGGGGTCCTATGGACTAGAAAAGCGCTATACAAATGCAGGCCATTTACCATTTTTGGAATTTGTACATGTTTTGTCTTTAGGTGCCACTGCATATATTTATATATAAACATATATAAATAAAACCACTTTTTTTTACATTAGTAATTCCTTTTGTGCATAATTTTATATTATTGTTAATAATAAATAAATTAAAGCAACAAAACAACCTGAAGAGCCGAAAGACCCGGGTCTTTTTAGTGAGTCGAGCTGAAAGAGCCGGTTCTCTAAAAAGAGTCGGAAATCCCATCACTTAATAAACTAAGGACTTCTGGGAAGTGGACTCCTCCCCTGTCCCGCCAGCTTTTAGCCAATCCTGCGTGATCTTCCTCCCACGCCCAGGAGTTTTTCACCATAAACACCGCCCCTCCTGTTTCGTCGCACGGCGCTGCCTTAACGGGCAGCTTAGAAACTCGTTTTTGTTTTAACCCTCAGCTTCATGCGAACAGTTTGACTACATTTAAATGATTTATTCTATATTTTACATTTTCTACTGTTGTATTTAATAAAAAACAATAGAATAGAATAGATATTCATCATACTGCAACTGAGCAAACAAATCGAAGAAGTCTTTGACCGTCCACATACCGTCTGGCACGCATTTTAATTCCCATTATTTTATCACTGTAGACATCTGTAATGAATCCTCATATGAGTAACACAGAACATAGACAGAACATTATTGATTGTTACTTGCTCCACGAATTATTTACCGACCCATCCTTTTTTTCAAAATGCTATGTTACTATATTTCAATAAGTACGCGAAGGCAGCATATGTCTTCCCGGTGGTGCTGTGATATTGAGAGGTCATACATTTTCAAAAACCAGGGAGTTAAGAGCAGGTATGTTTCCGTGATTGCTGAATTCACATCACTGATCAATAATGATCATATCTGATTAAATTAGCGCTCGCTCTATTTCCATATTTGTCTTTACAACGCTAACTGAGGTGCTAATGTGCTTGCTAGCTTGTAAACTAGCTGGTTAGGGGACGTTAGTTAGCAGGTATTTTGATGACATTAGAAATCTGTTTGTTCTCCCATCTGTCCGAACATTTGATTGTTTTGTTTTTTTTTTTTTTTTTGGGGGGGGGTGTTTTTTACATTTAACTCCGTTTTATTAACAACAGTGGGTATTTCTGTTCTCCAGTTCGTGATTTGCAGTGCTGCTGTCGGCTACCTTGCTAGCGTGTTCGCTAGCCATTTAGCAGCCAGCTTGGTGACAGGAACTGGGGCACCTGTCGTGACAACCCCAAACCCATCTGCCACTGTGTCTGTTGCGGTTTTCTTTAATCAGCTATTTCGGTATGACAAACATCATTCATGTGGTTGTCTCGCTAGTGAGGCGATTGGAGGCTCGTGTACTTTACACATAGTTTGAAGGAGCAAACCAATAGCCAACTCCTCTGTTATCTATTTATCCACGCTATCAGGTGTTATCTCGCTCTTTAAGGTGTTTTTTTTTGTTTTTAAATCAATTTGGTAGTTGTGACCTTCATGCCAGAAAGAACAAAAACCAAGGTCTCCACACTGCTGTGCCCCCCAGTTTCTTACTCAATTATGGCCCAAGTGCTGGATGAAGTTATCCAGTTAACACTGTGGTGAAAAGCCATAATGTGAACAGCACAGAGATAAAGAGTTGGATCTGAAAGAGGTCAATAGTTGTATTACAAGTGAGGTATTGTTTTATTTGAAATTGTACAGTCCAACTTGGATCTTTAAGTGACTGTGGGCTTTTTGGTGTGGTGTGGGCATTAAATGGATAAAAACATCATCTTAATTTTACTTTATCCTATACTCACAGACACAGCTCACATCACCAGCGTTTTTCATTACAATAATTACACTTGTAGGGCTAGGAATCAGGTCGCCATACTTATGTTGTTTCAAACTTTGATCTCTGTTTGTGATATTTGAGCATGCATAAAATTTTAAAATAACATTCAGGGCATGTTTGTTGTTTTTTGGGGTTTATTTTTCTTGCCTATAAAATGTTTTGACAAGTCTTTTCTGTGAGAAATGCATTAGTTAATCCAACTCATACGGTTCTTTTTTTCTTCTGACTTGATGTTTTCTGCAGTGTTTTACGTTTGTGCCTGAGCACTAATCAAAATTTCTGAGTGAAGAAGCCAGGATGTCAGAAGAGGTGTCCCGCAACATAAACATCAAGGAGCCAAGATGGGACCAAGGCACGTTCACGGGCCGCGCCAAGCACTTCTTCATGGTCACGGACCCCAGGAACGTCCTGCTGTCCTCTGAGACTCTGGAGGAGGCCAGAGTGACTGTGGAGAACTACAGGTAGAGAAGGTCAAGATATAAAGAAGGGAATAGGAATGTATAACCCTTATTCCAAAAGACACTGTGTAAAAACCCATATTTTAATTACAATAGGATATAGAAAACATATCAAATGTTTAAACTGAGAAAGTGTACAATTTTAAGAAAATTATTAGCTCATTTTGAATTTACTGGCAGCAAAATGTCTCAAAAACATTGTAAAAGGGCCATGTTTACCATTGTGTTGAGTCCTCTCTTCTGGGAACTGAGGAGACTAGTTATGGATTTTGGGGGAGGAATGCTGTCCTATTCTTGGCTCACGTAGGATTTGAACTGCTCTACATTTTGGGGTCATATTTGTCATATTTTTCATCTCGTGCTGTTTTCAGTTGGTGAAAGGTTAAGTATGTATACGTAGTGTGTGGTTTTGCATTGCCTTGCTGAAATATGCAAGGGTTAGGGTTAAAAGAAGTCATGTGGATGGGAGCATGCGTTGCTCTTAAACCCGTATGTATCTTTATGGTGATTTCCAGGTGTGCTACCTGGCAATTTCAGACATTGAACAAAAATATAAATGCAACACTTTTGTTTTTGCTCCCATTTTCCATGAGCTGAATTCAAAGATCTGAAACATTTTCTAGATACACAAAAGACCCATTCCTCAAATGTTGTTCATAAATCTGTGTTCATGAGCACTTCTTCCTTTGCCGAGATAATCCATCCCACCTAACAGGTGTGGCATATCAAGCTGCTGATTAGACAGCATAAATATTGAGGGAGTGTGCAATTGGCATGCCGACTGCAAGAATGTCTACCAAAGCTGTTTGTGAAATTAATGTTCATTTCTCTGCCATCTTGGAACCTGCTGTGAGGACAATTAAAGTGTGGCCAGAGGGGACAGACGCAGTGCTCCAGGACAGATTTAAAAACACAGACTGGAATATGTTCACCCACACAGACCTGGACCAGTACGCCTCATCTGTACTGGATTACATCTCCAAAACCACAGACAGTGTCACCACCCAGAAACGGATCACCATGTACCCCAACCAGAAGCCTTGGATGAACCGGGATGTTCGTCTCCTCCTGAAGGCCCGCAACACTGCCTTTAGGTCAGGAGATGCACACGCCTACAGTACAGCCAGGGCTAATCTAAAGAAGGGCATCAAAAAAGCCAAACACCATTACAAAAAGAAGGTAGAAGAACACTTCTCCAACTCCAACCCCCGACGCATGTGGCAAGGACTCCAGACCATCACAGACTACAGGACCACCAAACCCTCCCCCGCATCCTCTGATGTCTCCTTCCTCAACGAGCTCAACAACTTTTATGCTCGTTTTGAGCGAGGGAACCCCACAACCACAACCAAAGCAGACATGACGCCAGACCACCAACCTATGACTCTCTCCCCCACCGATGTAGGAGCGGTGCTGAGCAGGATCAATGTCCACAAGGCTGCAGGCCCTGATGGCATCCACGGGCGTGTTCTCAGAGCGTGTTCTGGGGAGCTTGCAGGAGTGCTCACAGACATATTCAATCTGTCCTTGGCCCACGCTGTGGTACCGGCCTGCTTCAAATCCACCTCCATCGTCCCGATACCCAAAAACTCCAACCCATCTTGCCTCAATGATTACCGCCCAGTAGCACTCACCCCCATCATCACTAAGTGCTTAGAGCGACTGGTCCTAGCACACTTCAAATCCTGTCTCCCCCCCACCCTGGACCCCCACCAATTCGCATACCGCCGGAACAGGAGCACAGAGGATGCAGTCTCCATCGCAATGCACTCTGTCCTCTCACACCTGGACAACAACAACACCTACGCCAGAATGCTGTTTATAGACTTCAGTTCAGCATTCAATACAATCCACCCCTCACAACTCATCAGGAAACTGACAGACCTGGGTATCAGTTCCCTCATCTGCAAATGGTTACTGGACTTCCTGACCAACCGCCCCCAACATGTCCGGCTGGATAACCGCTGCTCATCTACCATCACAATGAACACCGGTGTACCACAAGGCTGCGTGATGAGCCCTTTCCTCTACTCCCTCTTCACCCACGACTGCAGACCTGCTGATGGTTCCAACACCATCATTAAGTTTGCAGATGACACCACGGTGATTGGCCTCATCAGTGACAACGATGAGGCCGCCTACAGGGAGGAGGTGGATCGTCTGGCTGAGTGGTGCGACAGAAACAACCTGCTGCTTAACACCGAGAAGACCAAGGAGCTCATCGTGGACTACAGGAGGAATGCTGACCCACATCCACCCATCCACATTAAGGGGACGGCTGTGGAGCGTGTGAGCAGCTTCAAGTTCCTGGGAGTCCACATCTCCGAGGATCTCACCTGGACGACCAACTGCTCCAAGCTGGTCAAGAAGGCTCACCAGCGCCTCTTCTTCTTGAGGACTCTGAGGAAGAACCACCTGTCCTCAGACATCCTGGTGAACTTCTATCGCTGCACCATCGAGAGCATCCTGACCAACTGTATAACAGTCTGGTACGGGAACTGCTCTGCCTCGGACCGGAAGGCGTTGCAGAGGGTCGTGAAAACTGCCCAGCGCATCGCTGGAGCACCACTTCCTGCCATAAAAGACATCTACAGGAAGCGGTGTCTGAAAAGGGCTGGGAAAATCATCAAAGACCCCAGTCACCCATCACATGGACTCTTCACCCTCCTGCCCTCTGGGAGGCGCCACAGGAGCCTCCGGACTAAGACCACCAGGTACCGGAACAGCTTCTTCCCCACAGCTGTCAGACTCCTGAACTCTGCCTCCTGACATCTGACCCACGTTAAACTCATGGACTGAACATACACACACCCACAATGGACAACTGTACCCTCAAACACAATAATAACATGGACTGAACCACCACTCACAACCACTAGCACTTTATATAGCCTCTGTAGAAACTATCTACACCCTCACTTATCTTAACTGCACTACTGTATAGTTCTGTGTAAATAATCATTCTGTACATTCGATAATCTTAATCCTACAACTGTTTACAACTTGCATAGTTCCCATTTCTGTATAGCTGTATATCCCAGATTCTGTAAAGTTATTTATTTCATATTCTGTATAGTTTTTCATATTTATATCCTGTTCATATCCTGTACATAGCTTGTACTCACTACAGCCTGTACATACTTATAGTTATAGAATATTCACAACATACTTCATACCGTGTACATTATAACATACCATAATAGACCCATTTCTGTAATATACTCACATATCTATATTATTGCTAATATATATTGTAATATATCTATATCACTAAAGCACTTCTGGATGGATGCAAACTGCATTTCGTTGCCCTGTACCTGTGCATGTGCAGTGACAATAAAGTTGAATTCTATTCTATTATATTCTATTCTATAAGCTGTCGCCAAAGAGTTTGGCAGTACATCCAACCCGCCACACAACCGCAGACCATGTGTAACCACACCAGCCCAGGACCTTCACATCCAGCATGTTATCCTCCATGATCGTGTGAGACCAGCCACCCGGACAGCTGCAGCAACAATCGGTTTGCATAACCAAAGAATTTCTGCACAAATTGTCAGAAACTGTCTCAGGGAAGTTCATCCAAATGCTCGTCGTCCTCATCGAGGTCAGACGACGAGATCCTAAGGCCCATTGTTGTGCCATTCATCCAAAACCATCCCCTCATGTTGCAGCATGATGATGCACGCCCCCATATTGCAAGGATCTGCACACAACTCCTGGAAGATAAAAACATCCCAGTTCTTGGATCAACATGATCAACTCTATGCGATGGAGATATATTGCACTGTGTGAGGCAAAGATACTGAGAAACCCCATCACTTTAAGGTGCTCTTTTTATACCCAATCACGTTGCTAAAATGCTACCAATTAACCTAATTTGTTAAAAATAGCAACACCAAACAGCTGGAGAACTAACTCCTCCAGTGTTTTTGTTGCCCCTACTCCAACTTTTATGAGACCCACTACTTCCATCAAATTCAAAATGAGCTAATAGTTTTCTTATAGTTGTACATTTTCTCAGTTTAAATATTTGACATGTCTTTTGTTGATGTTGTTTTTTGTAAATAGAATATCGATTTATGAGATTTGCTAATCATTGCATTCTGTTTTTATTTGCATATTACAACAATGTCCCAACCTTTTGGGAAGCGGGGTAGTATGTCTGATCTGAGTAAGGCATGGATAGGAATGAGCTTTGAACGAGATTATATGCTGACTTGTTTTCTCCGGGGGTTTTTTTTTTTACATATAACAAAAACTGTACTGTAGCGCTGTACTGTTATGACTTTTTCAGAGCTGGGATCGTGAAGCCTGGTCTGACGGAGGATGAGCTCTGGAGAGCCAAATACATCTATGACTCTGCCTTCCACCCCGACACAGGGGAGAAGATGTTTGTGATTGGCCGGATGTCTGCTCAGGTGCCAATGAACATGTCCATCACAGGCTGCATGCTCACCTTCTACAGGTACAGCTCAGGTTTAAACACACAATTCACTATAATCTGCTTCTAAAATGATTCCCTAAAGAGAATCTAGAAATGGAAAAATCTAATATTTAATAAATGAAAGGCTGAATTTGATACAGTTTCTGTGTGACCAAAAGTCAGCCTTAATACAGCAGCAAAAATAGAAATGTTAATCCCTGTGCAGAGGGAAAATCCTCTTAAAGAATAAAAAATGTTGCTCTTAATTCTACTGATAACTCGCTATGCTGTGACCATTTAATAAGCTGAGATCAATTCATGTTCAGAATCAGAAGACTTTATTTATCCCCAAGGGGCAATTAACAAACAACCGAGCAGCATACGTTGAAGATAAGGACAATAGGAACAGGCAGTAGGAGTGAAATAATAAATACACAGTATATACAGTTTTAAAATTACACAGTTTTAAAATTAAAGTGACCGAAGGTGAATAAATAACTGCAAGTGACTAAAAGTGAATAAAGTGTCAGTAGTGTAGTGTAGAGTGTAGTTTATGTTTATGGGTGTGGAGAAACAGTTTGATCTGCAATAAAACTATACACAGTATGATTAAAAAGTAAAGCTGAGATGACTTTTAATACTCTTTGTAATTACAGAAATAGATGGTGAAACGAAATAATAGATTATTGGCTATAGTTTTAAAAACTGATTTATTTAAAAATTTTATGTTAATAGTTCACATTTTATTTTAAGTATTTTTTCACGTTTTTGTTAATTTAATATTTAACAATTAAGTCTATCATTTTTGTCATATTATGTTTATGTTTATTACTCAGGTTCAGGTTGGATGTATCGTGCACTACCATCAACCACAATGTTGTTTTTGCATCCTACCACTTGAGGGCACCATATGGTGACATTTTAAAGTCTATATATTATAGCTTTATATAGTAAAATTGGTATAGTAAAGAAGAGAGCGAGTGCTTTGGGGGGTTTCTTAATACCAATATGAATATTTTAGGTGATTTAAGTTAAAGTTGAAATTCAGCATATATTTCTGGAGGCCTGTAAACTGTGCTAAAGGACCATTTGGTTTTTAGATCACATGAATAAAATTGTGACACATACCCTATCAAGATGATCTGTATCTTTTGCATGTGAATTTTATTCAAACTTGACTATGGGCTGATTGATTTTATATGAAGATGTTATCTGCTGGGAACACTAGTGTGAAATGAGGGTCCACACAAAGTTATCTGTATGCAGTTATGACTAAATGCATCTGTAGGTTACTTAGTAGTTTTGCTTGCATCCTCTTTTTTTTTTTATTATTTTTTAAGTGTTTGTCGCTAGCAGCTACTTTCTCAAGTAGTGTCACTTCTTTGCCACAGCGCAAACGGCACCGAACACGCAGCGTGAAATCTCACTTCCTCAAACACACTGTCGCTGTTCCTTCATGTTTTTTGCAGGACTACTCCAGCAGTGGTGTTTTGGCAGTGGGTTAACCAGTCCTTTAACGCCGTCGTCAACTACACCAACCGCAGTGGAGACGCACCCATCACCGTGAAGTATGGAGGACTTCTCATTTCCCTTCCTCTCTTGATCATTCCTGTCCCACGTCTAAACTAGTCTCTGTGAGGAGGCTGTGGGAGCGGCTGTCCTCTCCCTCACAGCGGTATTACGTTCCACTGTTAAGCATGTTCGGCAGTGTCACAGTGATCTCATGCTGACTTAGATTACGTGCTCCTTGTTGACAACAGGTCAGCATATTTGCAATAAATTGCCCCTTCCAGACGCTGCAAAAATGCATTGAATGCATGCATTTATGAAGAACAGCAACATGCGAATGCATATTTATGGATCAAGCATGCAGTCAGTGAAACACATATTGTAATGTTCTGTTTTGCAATTATTTGCGAGGATGTTCTCGTTCATTCTTAAATATTCATACATGACTTCACACATTTCTTGGTCCACTTAAACTTTGCATTGATTCACCTTAGCTTAATTTGTAGACTTTGAGCTGCTGTCTTCATGTGGTGATGCATAATTGGCTCTATTTCACTTATGAAAATGCTGAAAGGGGATGTGGGTTCTCAGTGTGTGACCTGTGATAATTTTGTTCTTGCAGCCAGCTCGGTGCAGCCTACGTCAGTGCAACAACTGGAGCCGTAGTCACTGCACTGGGACTCAAGTCTCTAGCTACGGTAATACGTTTGTTTCAAGTGCAACAAACATGAAGTAAACCGAAGATAAAACAAACACACATGACCTGCTCTGAGATGTGATCCTGATTGCTTAATTTTGTTGTCTTTGCAGCGTCTCCCTCCAATCATCAGCCGGTTTGTCCCTTTTGCTGCTGTTGCTGCTGCTAACTGTATCAACATTCCCTTTATGAGGCAGAGGTGAGGTCACTAAAGTATTAACTATAATAGGCCACTGATTAATATTTTAACAGCTGGTATGACAGCTTTACATGATGTTTGTTTTCCCCCACTATCAGGGAGTTAAAGTACGGTATCCCTGTAACTGATGAGAATGGAAACCGGTTAGGAGAGTCTCCAAATGCTGCCAGACAAGCCATCGTGCAGGTGGTGGTGTCGAGGATTGGGATGGCGATGCCTGCAATGGGTAACGTCGACATTTTCTCTGCTTGGTCATTACCTTGCATGCATTAGTGACAATCTGCAAAGAAGTATCAGCTGAAACTGCAGCTCCTCTCTGCTTTATGGAGTTTTCTGGCTGGTTAGGTTCCCCGTTTTTCTGCCTGTTCTGTATAGTGTTCATCATTTAACAGCCTATGACCCAGATATTTATCTCAAGAGCCGCTAGACAGCAAACACAAAGTTAAGAGAATATATGTTGACTTTATGATCGTCACTCACCAAAAATATATTAGAAAATGTATCTTCACCTCACACATTCTGAGCCTTACTAACAGTTTCCTGTTTTGCTATTGAAGCAGAAACCCCCACCTGACTTGTTGTTCTGTTCACAGCCATTCCTCCTGTCATAATGAATGCTCTGGAGAAGAGAGCTTTCATGAAGGTAAGCGAATTGCATCCGTGTTTGCTGTACTGTTTTGTTTCTACTGAGTGGATTTACCAGACATGCTGGTATTTTATGAGGTTAAAGAGTCGCACCGCATTCCACATGTTGCACATACATTGAATGCTTGTGTCTGTGGATGCTCTGTACAGACAAACTCATCTGATATGTATGTGTCCCTGATTTTTATCTGTTTTCTCTGCAGCGGTTCCCAATTCTTAACGCTCCAGTCCAGGTGGGACTAGTCGGTTTGTGGTGAGTAAAGTAGACTTGTTATCAGTGAGAGTATCCTTTTATCAAATGATATTTTTAACTTCACCTAGAAAGTACCTGCAACAACATCTGAAACATTCCTGTTTTCATCTCATGATTTCAGCCTGGTGTTTGCAACTCCTCTGTGCTGCGCCCTATTCCCTCAGAAAAGGTACCAGTAGCCACTTTCACTCATTCAGTCTATATCTAGAGTTGTTTAACTTAGCTGCCTTTTAATGATGCTGGACCATCTCTTTGTAGCTCTATGAGTGTTAGCGGGCTGGAAGAAGATCTGCAAGAAAGGATACGAAAGACCAGTCCTCACATCACCACAGTCTACTTCAACAAAGGCCTGTAGGAGCAGCAAGCACATTTCCATGCATATGTTGAGACACACACACACAGTGCTCTGGATTCAGTTGGAAGGGTGAAATAAAATATATTTGCAGGGGTTGTTGGTTTTTTTTGTTAAGGCTCTTTTTCTTTTCTCTTGAGAGAAGAGCACCATCTATTTACAGTTTATTGTTTTGTGGTGTGCTTTTTGTCTTCCGCTGGTCACAGCTGAACTTTTGGATGGCTATTCATGAAGTTACTGATTTGTCCTCAACCCGCCAATATCTTGCGTTGCATTCAGGTTCATTTCTGATTCAGTTAAAATGAAGACTCATGTGTGTAACTTCTTCTGAATGTAACAGTCTTTTCTGCCTTGTGCTCCCACTTTTTCCAGTGTATATTCCAGTGTCATATATTTCGCACTGACAGTTTTGTTAAAGCTTGAGGCCACCAACTCAGTTGCCCCAAGAAAACTGTATGTTAAGTCGCTCTAAATAGCCCGACTCCTGTTGAAGTTCCTGTTTTGTTGTACCATGCCTGTTGTTACCCAGTGCAGCTTCTTACCCTCGTCTACTCTCCTCTAAGTGTACTTATGCCCTTCATATTCTTAGTCAAAGTAATAAGGTGCTCAGTACCTGTGGCAAAGATCTTTATATAGCAAATTGCTCATCCTATATCAGTCAACACCACAAACTGTGGTTCTCATCAGCATAAGTATGTACTGTGGCAGCCTGGGTTTTTTTTTTTCTTTTTAAAGGTGATGGCGCTTTTAAATAGTGGCATCTGGTGGAAAGAGGATAGTGTGTTGTGTGTCCATGAGGAAGTAGAAATGCTGTTGATATCGTTGATAAGGATCTTAAATTATCTTAAATGTATTGCTGCTGTTATGTGAATACTAACTCACAGTTTGGAGGAGGGGGTTTTTTTTAGTGTTTGCACCTGACCTGAAGTGGGCTGGGAGACATCAAAACAGCCAGATTGTCAAAAGCGCGAGAGCCACTGATGTCCTGTTGAATCAAAGGACAGTAATAAATGTTGTGTAATAGGTCAAAATAGTAAACTCCTGGTTATAGGTCATGGTAGCTGTGTGTGCACAGTGTTTGTAGCTGCTTTGTTAATGTGGACAGCTCGGCCGAGTTTGAGCATCTTTGATCAACAGTCATTCACATTGTTGACCAAGCTCTCCAAACGCAGTGTCTCCAGTGTGGTTAGATAGTGGTGATGGTGTCTTAGTGGTGTAAAAATAATTATATTTTTCTTGGATATATTTATGTACAAAGCACATATAATGTAGAAGCTACGAAGCACATTTTTGAGGGATTTTAGAGATTTTAATTAAAATGTATGCCTCTGTTAGTGAATGCATCAGATGGCCCCACATATGCACTTGGAAACAATGTCCTCTTCTCTTGGTACATAGTGTAACTTATTGCAAATGACTAGGAGCTTCTCCTGCTTCAAGACCAATCAGTTCTCAGATTAAAGGAGTGTTCCTATAGTTTGATTTATCACTGTTGCAAATTACCAGCTCGGATTCAGTGTTAGTATAAAGTGATGTTTTGTGTATGTTGGTTAAAAATGTGACCACAGTAAGATTGTATAGATAACCAAAATTCATCTCCATTAAGACACTTCGATGTAGTTGTGGACAGATGTTGGGCGTTAAGGGACTGTAGTAACCGCACAGCATTTGCATTTTTGTGAATGGACTTTTTGTACAGATACAAATGCACAGTGATTGTGTTAATGTGCGATTCCAACAGTCAGTAGCTTTATTCACCAAACGTTAGGAGAGTGTTGCTACTTGAAACTTAAATGAAAGTGGACGTAGTGTTTTGGGGGTTTTTTTGTTTTGTTTTGTTTTTTTAACTATTGGCTCTGTTGTTTTGGAGAGAAATTGGGTTTTCATATGAACACTTCACTCCCTTTCATCTCATCCATGTGAACAGAAGGCTTCTGTTTGAGTCCCCTGCTTGAATTGGACACCAACGTGGGATCACATGCACTGCAGGACAGTGTTTCACACTTAGCATCACTACTATAGTCTATATGTAGAAATGTTTGCAGTGCCCACTGAAGACATTTTTGCTACGATGCTGACAGCAGCTACTGTGTGATGTGTTTGCTGTGCTGCTGTAGGAGTTAACTGGATTTGTGTTGCTGTTTTAAAGGAGCTTTTACAAGTGTGCATTGATGATTGTGAGTCTTCATCATGCTGGATAATGCTGATTGAATCGTGGCTTCGCGTCTGCTAATTTTTAATCATTTGTGGTCTGCTAGCTTTCGTTGCTCGTAACCAAGTTGCTTTGTTCCCATCTTTCTCCTTTTCTACTCGCGTTTTGGTGCACAAACGTTTAAGAACAAAACTGAGGGGTTTGAGTCGGCATTCAGACACGTTTGGAAACTTTCATCGTCCCAGCTTGTGACTGTTTTACCACCGTATCATGTCACACCTGTAGAGCCAGCCAAAGATGAAACGGGTAAAGGACTGAGGAAGTGTGTAGCTTTTTAAAAGTTTTTGTTTCAGCTTTAGCAAATGGACCTTTTGCCATACTTGTGCAAAAACAGTTTGTTTTTTGTGTATTTTAACACAAGTGGTCCTCTCCACCAAATCCATTGTCTTGAATACAAAGCTACAAGTTTGAAAATGTAAAGAAAGTCCAACACACACTTTATGTTTGGAATTCATTTTTTTGCCATTGATTTTATTGACAGTAACATTTTAGATCACAGAGTTCTTTCAGTGTTTTACAACTTTGCATACTGAAGGCATGCATGGAAAAGTCATGTCATGCTACACTCCATGAATGTTTTGGTTATTTTATATACATACAACTCACATACATGTAGACTTATAAGTATTGTGTTTTCTCCCTCTGTTTGTATTGTTTTGAAATGTATATTTCCTGGACGTGAGATGTATTTTAATCTGAGCAATAGAATAAAATGTGTAACATCAATGCCCAAGCATGCTTGTTTCATGCAGTAATATTTAACACGGGTTATTATCACCATATAAGTGAATATTTCAGCAGAACAGTTCAGATATGAGCGTAAACATTTAACCTAACTTAAAAACCACTGAATTTTGGTGGTTGGAACATTCACAACTTTAATCTGACACCGTCAAACAAAGAAATTTCACACTCTATGACATGGTCACGTCACAGTCAGCAGAGCAGGACGAATTAGGCTGCTGTTAGATGAGTTAACTGATGAATATAAGAGAAAACAAAGTAAATGTGATCACGTCTCTCCCTGTGTCCCTGCTGACTTTGCCACTGCTGTAACTTAAAGTTTGGCAGCCCTCTGGGTCCCACCCCACTGACCTGGGGGCCCAAGCAGTTGCTTGCCTTACCTAGTGGTAAAAAGCTCCTCTGCATTACTACTGCTTCATATAGAGAGCTATAGATACACAAGTGTGTGTGTGTAAATTGTCCTTGTGGTAGCTCCTATATGTAAAGGACTTTGCCTCGAATTTATACACACTGGCCACTTTATTAAGTACACCATTCAACTGCTGTTTAATGTAAATCTTTGATCGCTCAGTGCATTTCATCATGTAGACATGGTTAAAATAACCTGCCAAATTACATGGGTTCATCCTGCTATCACTTCAATGGGGTAATATGGTTAGATTTTCATGTACCTGTAGGGATCTTGGATGTTGCATTTTGAAACAGTTGAAGTCATCATACTGATGGAGAGTCCCGCAAATGGACCATTACAATATAACCTGCTTAATAAAGCATGGACCAGTTTCTCGGTGCAAATTTGAGATAAGAATTTTCTAACCTTTGATATACTTGCAAGAGGGAGAGAGCCGTTCTGGTGACCTTACTGATGTAATAATACCAAGGTTCCTGACAAGAGTATTTTTTGTGTCTAAAGGTGAAATGATAGAACATAATAAAACCAGACTCATGCAGAGGAATTCTTTTGGTTTGTTTTTGTTGTTGTGCTTTCAAGGATAAAGTTTTAAATGTTCAAAACTCAAAAAAATACTAAAGTTCTCTGAAAACTCTCATAAGAGCTGTGTAAGTTGTTTTATTAGACCAAGTTTTAACCAATATACAAATTACATTTAAAGAAAAAGAAAAGCACAGATATTGGATGAGGTCTTCTTTATTCACTGTTCTGCAGCTGGTATGCAAATGTGCAGATGCATAAAATTCTCTCTCATACGCACAGTCATACAAAAGCGAGCAACGCCTGCACCACAAACAGTCCTCAACATGACGACAGCAGCAGTGTGTGTGTGTGTGTTTAGGCATCAAACTTGCTCCCCTCGACCAAGAGTTTAGAGTAAAGTTGTCATTATCACACACAGACCGCACGCTCTTGTTATGTCAAAGGAGTGTTTGAGAGCTTGACCAGTAGAAGCAAATTAAGCTTTTACACAGAGTCAACATTTCAAATGTTTCACAGTTATATTCAGATGTAAAATTCAGCCATTAGATTAAAGCATCTGATTTTCAAGTGACCTTAAATAAATGGCTGCTGCACCTAAAAGGAAGTGATGCCTTTAATTCCCTAACATTTTCATACCCGTGTCAAGAATCTAGCTTGTAGGTGGCTTGATTTTCATAACCAACAGCAAATTACATGTGCAAAAGTCAGCGGCATCTTATGATATTAAACAACACGGACTTCATAAATACCAGAACGTTACTGAAATAATAATTATATTCGATTTTGACTGAAACTCTGCATGAGGTTAAAAATATTCAATTTGCTATTCAAGTTGTGATCTAATAAAAGCATGCTACGAAAATTATTTCACTGGTACAATTTTTTTAACGGCCTCTAGAACATTGGCCGTGTCCACCTTATCGCCAAACTCCTTCTCGCGGTGTTCCAGGAGGATGCCCTGCCAAAAAACAAAACATGTGCTTAAAAATAGAGACGAATTTTGTGAAGCATCACTGAGCCAAATCTGTGGAAGCTACCTGTTCTGCTGGTCCGATGACAAACACCCCTCCGAGGACAAACCCCTCTCCATTCATGTTGCCCTGGTACCCAGACCTCCAGGCTCGCCTGAAGTTCTGCCACACTCCCAGGCGAATGAACCCCAGGCCTCCCATCCTTCTCTGCACCGGGCCATAAAAACGTTTCTGCAA